CCAGTTTCAGCAATTATGCGCTGTTTTCCCAAACGCTTTGCAAGTAAGACTTGTCCAACAGCATTGTTAATCTTATGAGCACCTGTGTGGTTAAGATCTTCCCTCTTGAGATAAATATGTGGCCCTTCACCACTAGGGCGTTTATAATGCTCTGTAAGCCGCTCAGCAAAATAAAGAGGATTTTCCCTTCCAACATAATCCTTCAAAATTCCATTTATTTCTTTCTGCGATATAAAAACATTTGGATCATAAATTTCATTCAAATTAATAGAAACAAGGGGACTAAAAATACCTTTTTCTTGCACGCACAAAACCTTTCTCACTATGTGAGATCCTTTTATACTAACTACTCAATGGAAAAAAAAAATCCAGTAATACCATTGCACCGAAAATGGAAAAAAAATTCAAATAAATTTCATAAGAAAAAAAACTTATAAACCGACCGGAAAACAATGCATGGTGATACCACTTGCCATACAAGCGCGATTAAGTCATTATGGCACCATTGCATTATATCCCTAATCAACCAACATTTTCCAATACATCTTCCATCCAAATTTCAATACTTTAAGAACTCAAAATCGTATTTCATTTCAAGAATACTACAGACACTTAAAGCCTGCACGGGCAATATAATATACGCAAGAGAAACCACTCAAAATCTTGCAATGTTTATTCATCAGAAACAATGAGCAATTGCTTCAAATTTGCAAATTCTTTACCTTTTCTATATATTATAGGCACCGAAAAAACAAAATGAAATAAACATTCTTTTTCAGCAAAATCAAATAAGCCCAGAAACGCAATATATACACAGGGACCGATGTCTGTATAGATAGGAAGAGATACCTTAAATTCAGGATCATCCTTGAAGGAATAGAAAGCAGATTCAAGCTCAGTGAGAGCATACATAAGGGTCTCAGGTACATATTTCCCGCCATATTTACCAAACCGACCAAAAGAATCAGGTCGTTGCCATAGGGCAGGGTCAGAATCCACCACTTCCTCCATTTTAACCTCGGCCTCTCGGGCCAAAGTGCAAGAAATTGTAAATCTTGAAGGTGCGCGAGACGTTGAAAATTTGGAGAATTTAATAGGTAATTGGGAAGAAGAGTAGGGCTTGAGGAGAGAAGAAGAAGAGGACTTAGGTTTGGTGGTGGCTGCTGCTGCGGTGGTTATGGATGCGGTGGCTGCCATTAGGGATTTGATTGATTGTGGTTTTGATGGGTTTTTATTGCATGTGGAGTTGGAGAATTCGAGGAATTTTTATAGTTAGGGCACAAGTACACGTGGCGGGGTTAGTTTATGTGGTGAATAAGAAAGCAGAGTACAATGATTTTGTCTTGGTGATGATGTGGACTCTTATGGATACTGCATCACCTTTTAAAATCTTTCCTGTTTTGGTACAAGGAGAATGACTTTGTATTTAAAATGTTTTTTATTTTAAAATATATTAAAATAATAAATTTTATTTTTTAAAAATTATTTTTTAAACAAGTAAAAGTTAATTAAGTTTTGTATCAATTTTCATAGCTGATTAAGTTGGATTTCTGACCAGTAATTTATTTTTTTATTTTTAAAATCAAATTAGTTTAAATTCTAGACAAATTTAATTTTAGCTGATAATATAATAATTAATTTAATTGACATAACTGTACTCAAATTATTATATATTAATTCTAGTTTGAGTCATTTAAGATTTAGATCCAGGGGAGTTTATTTATAGTAAAAAATAAGAATGTATTAAACCAAGGAGATATTAAAGAATTAATATGTTTATAAGATATTATAGATATGAGGATTTTTTTTGTTTAATTAAGATAAAAATAAGTTAAGTTGCCTGTTATGTACCGTGGGTTCACTTTATTTAAAAAAAAAAAATGGATCTCGCTGCTGGTAAGTTTTGTACTAGTAGGATTCAAGTTTATTTTGAGTCCTGTACAACTAATAATGCAAGACCATTTTAAGTTATGTAGAATGCGAGGTCCAAGGATACTTATGTCTTGGTGTACCAAAGTCCCACATGCGTGTTGGGGGGTGCCAAGCCTCCAAGCAAACAATTCAAGCCCCACATAAGCGCAATGATTTACTCAACATTGAAGTAGGACCTAAGCACTATATGGGCGTCGAGGGTGTACTTAGCCTTTGGACAACAACCCAAGAATCGTGCGTTTCTGCATGGTTTTTTTTTAATAATAATTTTTAAAATTTATTAATAAAAATAATAATAATATGAATAATAATTTTTAGTTTTACATTTCAAATCAAATATATGAGTGTTTTTCAATATTAAAAATAATTTTTTTTCTAATTCACTAATTATTTTACTTGTAATATTAATAATTATAAAAATAATAATATTTATAACACTAAAGATTATATTTTTAATATGAATACTTTTGATTATTGTGAAAATAATAATATTCATAACACAACTAATATTATTTTTAATTCTAAGAATATTTAGAACATAAATAATAATATTTTTTCTATTAAAATTTTGAATTCTTATAAAAATAATAATATTGTTAAAATAAATAATAATATTTAAAATTAGATCTTTACGCACTATCCATTGACATTGGGTGGGTCGTGATACTGGATCCATTTCCCTTTGATTTAGTGGCATGATTCAAGCGCCAAGTGTGTCCAGGTGGAGTGCGGGCATGGACACGCCCAACGTAGGAGATGTACCTTGCCCTGGGCAACAACCCAAGCGCTACATGTCCTCATGTGGTTTTTTTTTTAATAATAATAATAATAATTTTTAAAGATTTATTAATGATAATCATAATCATAATAGTAGTGGTGATAATAATAGTAATTTTTAGTTTTACCTTTCAAATCAAATTTATGAGTGTTTTTAATATCAAGAATATTTTTTTCCTAATTTAGTAATTATTTTATCAATAATATTAATTATTATAAAAATAATAATATTTATAACACAAAAGATAATAGTTTTAATATTAATACTTTTAATTATAGGAAAAATAATAATATTCATGACACAACTGATACTATTTTTAATTACAAGAATACTTAGAAATAATATTTTTATATTAAAAATTTAAATTCTTATAAAAAGAATAATATTATAACACACATAATAATATCTTTGATACAAATATGTTGAATTATAAGAATAATAATAATATTTTAATATGAATACTTAAAATAATAATATGTTTTAGATGAATCTTTGTATTCTAAGAAAAATATTAATATTTACAAAGAAAATTATAATATTTTTTATACTAATACATAGAATTATTGAATATTTTTAATAGCACTACAACCAAGGGTTCACTTTTTATTTTTATACAAAACACCATAAAAATTTATAATATAAATAATAATATGTTTCAATATTAATAGTAATATTTTCATTGAAATTCATTAATTATTTTTTTAATAATATCAATTACAATAAAAATATTTCTAAAACAAATAATAATATCTACAATTGGGTCTATACCCCGAATGATCTTGTATGACGATGCCGAACCCATTTTTTTTAGATTCAGTAGCAAGATCCAAACACCAAGTGTGTCAAAGTGGGGTACAACATGGACATGCTCAGTGCAGCCCAAGTATCATGCGAGTGCTGAGGTGTGCCCAAGAACCAGGCAGGCAGCTTAAATGTCATATAGGTGCAGGGTTATACCCAACATTGAGGCATGTGCTCAAGCACCAGACAAGGCAGGCAGCTTAAATGACCCCAACATTGAGGCATGTGCTCAAGCACCAAGTGTGTGTTATGGGTGTCGAGCTTTTGGATAGGAGCCCAAGCATCACATGGACGCTATCGTAGAGAGTGCACCTCTAGCCTGACTTGAGACCTATTGGCTATAGCCTCACACATGTTCTCACTAAATAGTATATTTTATAGTGAATTTACTCACAATGCACGGTATCTATGTTATAGTATAGAACAGTACAATTCATAATAAATTCATTCATAATATATGATAGCCCGCGCTATAGTGAAACACTGATAAAATTTTTTATAGTTAATTAATAATTATGATGATATAATTTTTTATGTTATTTACATGATATTATTTGTTTTATAGGTATTTTTTCTTGAAAGACTCGTTTTTAAATAGAATGTTACTAATAAATCGTTTATATTGGTTAGAAACTTATAATATCTGATAAAAAAAATTATAAATAAATTTTAATGTATATCATCTAAAAGTTATATAACTTGATGATTTTTTTATGTCAAAATATATATCAATGTAATTATAGATGAAATTAATTAACGGTAAACTAGAGATTATTTTCATGACAGAAAAAAAAAACATCTAAGCTAATTTACATGACAATTAAAAAGAAAATAATCAGAAAAAGTTTAAGTTGTTAATGTTTTATAGTGCAATGAAAATTGATACGAGAATATCTTTATTATTAAAAACACATAATATGATATAATCATTTGTTCATAATATTTTTTACATTATACATATTAATCTTGTCTTTTTTTTTATTATATTATGCATTATGATTTATCATAGAAAAATCTATAGATTTTATTTTTATATAATAAAAATAAATAATTTTTGAATTAAATGTAAAATGATGAAGATTGCATAAATAATTTAACTTTATTCATATTCTAAATATCATAATTAAATTAAATGACAGTTCATTAAAATTACAGTAATTGTTATTTTTTGTATGATTTAATATTATAATATATGAAATTAAAATCAATGACAATTCATTAAAATTACAGTAATTGTTATTTTTTAAAATGTATTTTTATATAAAAATAATATTTTTTTAAAATTTATTTTTGATATAAATATATTAAAATAATTTAAAATTATAAATAAATTAAAATATAAAAAAATATTTTTGAAATGTAAAAATAAATATATTTTTAGAATGTGTTAGAAAATATAGCAAATATTATTTTCTAATTTTTTTTATTTTAAAATAATTTTTTTTTATTTTTAATACAGGAAATAAAAAAATTAAAAAAAACTTCAAGTACATCCGGTGTCTTGGTGCTTCAGTCCACTGAAATTGAAAAATCAGGCATCGACACAGAAGCTCTCATAGAGATGAGATAGAGACGCTTCTTTAGTGAGTGAGAGAAACAGCGGTAAAGCCGAAATAATAAATCTCCGAAGAAGGAAACGGGAGATGTCTCATCTCGTTCTCTTCCTGCACCGGCGAGAGACAGGAGCTCGCAAAAAGACAGGTCCCTAGTAGAGAAAGAGAGAAATTCAACTCGAACGAGGTCTCCTTCGTCAAGAATGAAAATATTAAGGAGAGCCCATGCAGAGAAAGAGGGTGAAAAAACGAGGGATAGAGAGATCGAGAGGAATTATGTGAAAAAGGGAAGCGAGAAGGGTGAGAGAAGAATATGAAAGGAATCACAGAGAGAGAGGAGATGGGGAAGCTGGGAAGGAGAGAAGGTCAGAGGTTGAAGGAGAGTCTTCTTCTAGAGGAAGACATGGGGGGTGGTCTGGTTTTCCATTGGGATCAAACCGTCGGAACAGGAGGAAGCATAGGTCTCGCTCACCACCGCCTCAGTGAGAAAGAGACCGCAATGAGGTGTCTGTTGATATCCACTCCTAAAAACACTTTGGTCTTAACATTATTTTTTATTGAATTATCTTATTATTGTGTTGTTTGTGGTTAAAAATTATTTTCTTTACAATGTTGCTGATAAATGAAGGCTAATTAGTGGTGTTTCATTCTGAGCTATTGCCAATTTGATAAATTGGAAACTAAATGTGATTTGTATATTGGGTTTCGATATATTCTTTAGCTTTTTGATCAGGGGCTTGTTGTTTATAAGGGTTTCAAGCTTGGTTTTGTTTGATTAGGGATAAATTACTCATTATCACGATGATTTTCATCACAACTTGCAGAAACAATCTTCTTTTGAGTTATCTGGAAAACTCGCTTCTGAAATCAATAGAGTCAGAGGTGGGTGAAATGTGCATTCCTTTTAGTTTCTCTGAAGCAAATAATATTTTCTTTCACTACTTGATAGTTCTGTTGAACCCCTCTCTCTGTCACCTCTTTTATACAATTATGATGGCAAGTTATAAGTTTTTTGACATCTTTGGTTAGTTAATCTAGGTGCAGACCCTTTTGTCATGCAACTGCTTTATTCACATTTTGACATAAATGCATCTTTTCTGGTCATTTTAGTTGAATTGATGCAGATTGACTCAGTTATTTTGTCATTTGAAAAATAGTTAGGGAAGTTTCACTGCATTTGTGACGCGAAACTTAAGCAACATGTAGGTGATCCATTTTCAAATTACATTCTTATAAGAGGTAGAATTAGCCATGAGCACTTAAGGCTTCTTGATTGATGGTGTATTTGATCTCTATAAGCAGTATTACAAATTGCACCAAAACATGTTTTTTGTTTTTTTTGTTTCTTGCTTGCTTTGGTTCGTGCATGATTTGAAAAGTTTACTAACACATGTTTTGCATAGTTTTCTTTTTCATTTTCACATATGCCAAAAATTTTCCCCATTTGCTAGGCATTACATTGCTGTTCACCAAGCCCCCATATGCTAAGAAACCTGATATAAGATGGAGACTTTATGTTTTTAAGGGTGGTGAGGCTCTGAATGGTAAGTTCTGGGGATTCTTCTTCATCTGAGATGCATGTTTCTGTGAGAAATGTAAAATTCATAAATTCTTTAATTCAAGGTTTATTTCAGTTTAACATCCCCAAACAATTATGTATTATCTGTACGGTTTTTTTTTCATATAATTTTCAAGTTTACCCAATTTTTTTTTTTCATAATGCCCCCACCCACTCCCTCATTCAAAGTTCTAGCTCTGCCCCGGCTAGTTTTTCAATTTTCAAAAACAACTCTGTTTATTGAGTAGACAACCTTTAGTCCTCAGCAGAAAGGGGTCTGTAGTCAATCAATTTCTTTTCATTCTGACGGGATCCTTTCTGTACTTGGTACTGTTGACACTAACTTTGTATTTATTTCTTTTATGGCTAGCCCTTGTTAAGAATGGAATCTCTGATTACAGAAGAAACTTGTTAGCTTACCCTCTGGGTGATGTTTATGTTTCTCAAGCATATTGGTAAACAGAACCCCTTTATATACACCGTCAAAGCTGTTACCTTTATGGGAGAGAAAGGATGGTCGTAGATATTCCTACAGACCATCCATCTCGTAGCAAGAAACATGCTGTTATTCAATCCATTAGATCTTAAATTACCAGTTTAATCTTTCTTCTTTGTTGTTTCAGGGCATTTTTGTGATTTCTTGTTTCTGGTTTGTTTGGCAAGTAGAAAAGGAGCAGCCTGATGGTATGTTAAAAAATCAAGTTAAGAATCGGCTGTATCATGACCCTTATCATAGATTGATGAGAATTTACCATATCTCCACGTCTAACTTTGTCTTCTCCACATTCATTGACAGGCCTTACATAATGGATCTTGGAAGCACCAATAAAACTCATTAATGTGAACAATATCTCATAATATCCAGTTACCATAAATTGAGCTTTTCTTGTATTCATTGCTATAATTGAATGTAAAATTTCTTCTGCATTCCTGGATAATCCCATTGAACTTCAGCACTATTATGAACTATTTGAAAAGGATACAATCAAATTTGGTAATAGCTGGTAGGCCACCAATCAAAATGCAACTTCTATTTGTTATTGTGTGAATCATGACTCAAGTTTCTTTGCCTCTTCACTGTTATTTTACTGGCTAAAGTAGTCTCCTTTTATTTGGTATTTGAATAATGTATGTTTTGGCTGTGATTTCTTCATGTTCATCTCTTTGGGCATTTGGGTCAGTCTTTTTGTGTACTGCAAAAGCTCTTGGGAAATTAAGTTGCATACCATTTTCCCTGATTCTAAAAGTTGAGGATGTGATTTTTTCATCCCTTGAGGCTTATAGTTTAAATAGCTTAAATGGAGTCTATACTCTATTGAAACCTTTGTCTGAGTATGCAGGTCTCTTATTCCAATTAATCCTGGCCATTTTTCTCCTTTGTAAGTATAATTTTCCTTTTGTCCTTGCATGCTGAGCATAAAGGATCACACTTTCATTTCCTCGTATCACTGTAAGCAAACCTCGGAAACTTCTGTTTTGAACCATTTATGTACACCAAAACTCTCTTTGTTTGTTTGAAGGCAAACTTTGAATTATCTGAATGTCATGTATGTAGGCAAGCTTCTGTTTTGAACCATTTATACACATCAAACTTTGTTTGTTTCCTTCTGCAGAAAACAAAGTGGGAAGCGAATACATGCTATGCTTACCAAGTTGCATTTTGATGCTAGAAACACTATCTCATTCTTCAGAATTGTTTGGAACACTTAGTACCATTTTCATGCACATGCTTGTACATTTGACATGGATGATTTTTGTATTTTTCTAGATAGTATGTGGCGTATATTTGCCAGGGGAATATGTTTCACTCTAGAAACTAATTCCAATGGCAAAGTTGACATTTTGTTTTGTCTGTTCTATTCTTGACCACTGCAGAAAATGCTTCACATTGACATGAATAATTGAAGAATCCTGAATGATTTTTCCATGCTGGTCTTGTCCTGCTCATTGTAAATAATTTACGTGTCCTTTTTTTTCAGCCGTGAATATGTACAATTGCACGAGAACACTGCATAGAGATGTTCATTAAGTGGCTTCTCCAGTATGATTTTCTGACATCCTCATGCCAGAGAATCAACAACATTTTGTTTATCAATGGAACTTTTATTCTGAGTAGGAAACCTCTTAAAGAGCGCTTATTTCTCCCCATCCAGGGATTATCAAATACGAGAACTCAATTGGTTTGAACTGGTCTGTTTATGGTTGTTTTTATGCTGATCGAGGTCTGTGGCCATTCCAGTCATGTGTGTTGCATAGCTGGCCGTTGTATTCGATCCTTGTATGGCTAATTAATCTGATTGAATGGTTATTCGCTCTCGAGGTTTATTTATTTGTCAAAAATATCAGTGATGATTGTATTTGAAAGTTGTGTGAGTTGTGCGTTGGTTCGTGTTCTAAAATAAAAGGAAAAAAAAAAATGAGACAAAAACCTGTTTGGTTGACAGAGATATTAAATAAATCTGTCTCTGGGATATTTTAGAGAATTTCTTACTTTCAAAATAGAAAGTGTTGATTTACATCTAACGCTTCATTCTATCACAATAACTGAGAGTCAATGAGCAAAATATATGGAAGGTTGGGGACGTATGTTGCCGCTCTTGCGTGGGCGTCGTGATGGATAGCTATTAGCCCTATGACTAATTTGAATGTATACAAGAAAACGGACCAAGGCTAGGAAGTCACGGAGTGTCAGGCACATTATTCATTTGCCATTATGAACTTCCATATTCAATAATCTTATTTTTTTTTTAATGCTCTGATGTTTTGGTATAGAATTTGATGCAGAACTAAAAAAATTTACATCAATTGAAATAATGCTCTCTAATTCTACTCAATCAAGAATTCCAAAACTTGGAATGCAGCCAGCATTACCATGCCAATGAGGCTACAATTAGTTTCTTGTCTTTGATTTCTTGCAGTCATTAGAAATGATTGCAGCAAGTCATTACAAAAGATTACAGCAAGGTGATGAGAATTGTGGTGTATAACCAAGTGTAACTCTTAAATTCTCCTACAGAGGTGTTCTACACCTATTTCTTACTTTCTTCACTAGTCCTTACCATCCAACTCAGCATGCAAGAGGTGCCGATGAGGCGCCAAGAAATGCCGATGAGGCGCCGATGATAGCCTTCTTTTCTTTCTTTCTTTATTTGGTAATATATTGAGCATTTTTAGTGATTTTTGGAAGTTACCATTTATGAGAGATTGAATCACTAGAATATGTAGGTACATTAGTATTTTGTTTTTTGAGAACTAGGTCCATAGAAGTTATTAGATCTTTTACTTTTCTTCTTGATGCAACACAAAACTTAGTTCTTGGTTGTATGCTCTCCCATTTTGCCAACCCCTTTCTTTAATCTCATTATCCTTGCTTAATTTTCCAGTTAAGGGGTGGTTTTCCCTGTCTGTTTTTGTTTTCTGAACAGATAGACACAACCTTTCTCAGGAATCCAACAGCCTGCAAAATAGCTGCATTTCTTCATTATAAAAAACCACTGCAACTGCCTCTTCAAATTCACAGACAAAACCCTTCATAACCATGGACAGAAACATAGACAGAATCTCAAATCTGCCAAGCTCTCTACTCATAATCATTGCTGGTTTTCTGTCATTCAAAGAGGCTGGTAGGACATCTGTTTTGTCTAAACAATGGCTTAACATCTGGCGTGATGCGATGCATATACAGTTTAACGAGAACTTCTTTGTTAAATCTGATGAGCCTGAAGAGAATCAAAAAGTTCAGAGAGAAGTATTCATAAACTTTGCGAGGCAGTTTATTGCAAACTATTCACAACAGGATATTAAAACACTTGGACTCACATGTTCAAAGCCAGGGGATTTTCTTGCTGATATGCAAAATATTGTCATGTTCGCGTCGTCACGTAACGTGAGAGAATTAGGACTAGATTTCTCTGACCCGACATGGAGAGAACATGCACTTGAGAATCATCAAGCAGCATTTGAATTGCCTTTGCCTGTTTATGAACATGGCCAGGCTCTCAAGTCCTTGAAGTTGTTTTCGTGCAGTTTTGATGTATCCAACTTCTCTAATTTCTGTGCGCTAAAGACTCTTTCTCTAGGGTGGATAAAAATAAACATGGGATCTATTTTGGCTATATTGGAGAGTTGTCCATTGTTAGAGAGTTTGAGTCTAAAGAAGTGTTGGGACATGGTGAGCTTTGAGATATCTAAGCCAGGTTTGAGGCTAAAAAGCTTGGTCATTGAGGAGTGTGATATTGCCGATGATTTCGTATTAATTGAGGGACCAAAACTTCAATTCTTTAAGTTCTCAGGAAACGTGGGTGAATTTATTTTGGAGAATCAAAGCGATTTGGTAAAGGCTGAACTTGATTTTGGGACGGAGACTGCATTTGATGAAATTGGTTTATTCCTTTGTGATCTCTTAGAAGATCTTTTTGCTGCTCAAGTTTTGACAGTTTGCAGCGTCTTCTTACAGGTACAAAAGCTTGTTTGATTTCCTTTGCTTTTATGTTGCCTCATGCCGAGACAGATTTTGTCAGTTTCATATATTCCTAGTCTTTAAATTGATTTACCTCGTGTCTTAATGAACTTGTAGATCTGATATAACCTCATGCCATATGTTAAGCTGCTTCGTTTACATGTTGTGACGAAATTCTTAATTTAGGGATGCACATTGCCGTATCCAATTCTGGGCATCGTCGCGATATGTCACCTGATGCTGCCAATCCTGGGTTTTAGATGCTTATAGGCAACGTACATTGTCGCCAAAAGCTGTTGGTGGCAATTTGTTTTCACTCCAAAACTCGGTCTCTTGTAGTTTTCAAAGGCAACCATTCCACTTATCAGAAATCGCCAAATGTTTATTTTCTCTCGTTCTTACAATTTTTCTGATTTAATCTTAGGGAATCCTTGGTTTTAGCCACTAACATTTTACTCCATCATCAGTTAAGTTCCAAGCCTTTTGATTTTATCAAATTTTCTTCAAACGTAATTAACATTAGATAATGTGATTCCTCCATGGCTCCATCCATTTGTTGTAGATGATAGTAAAAAGACTTGGTCCAATCAGCACTTTCTTGTTAAGTACTTCAATCAAAGGCATTAAATTAAACCCTAATTTTCCATAAAGGAAAATTTTTGCGGATAAATTTCGACCTACTTCACCAATTTATATAGAAGGAGAAGTGGAGGAAATTTAATATGATTTTGTGCTAAAATTGTCCTTTAGATTAGATTAAAGCTTATTCTCACACATTTTTATTCATGCTGTCACTAAATCTTAACTTCAGTGATTGACAATGAAGTTGCCAAAAACTACTGCAAATTGCCACCTAATATTTTTATTACGTGATCCCATTTGTCGCCATATCCTGGGCTGTACAGATCCAAAGGCAACATATACTGTTGCCAAAAGTTTTTGGCCACTATGTGTCTCACCCTTCAAGTCAATTCACCATGGCCTCTCGAATTACAGTAAATAATATAGCATTTTAATTGGCTTGTAGGCCTCTTTAACTTCTGGTGTCGAGTGTATGAAATCTGGGATTAACATCGTTTTATTTTATGTTGATGGTCACTGACAGATTGTTCCCAGTGGAAACGAACCATTGGGTTTGCAAGCTCCAATTGATGTCCGCTATCTGATCCTCAAAACAGCACTGCACATTAATGAATTTTGTGGTATCAGGTTCATGCTAAGGAGCTGTCCTCATCTAGAGATTCTTACCATTGACATTGGCCCTGCAAATATTTTCCCTGTAAGTGCTATTGGGTAAATCTGGTTAAAATCTCTCTGCTGCGCAATAACGTTTTACCGAGTAGCTTGAACTCCAACCATTAGCATTTTGTCCAAACTACATTTCTCTTTGTTTCAGGAATACGGAGCTCCCTATCCATTTAACCCTCAAGAATTTTGGTCTATGGACTTGCTAGTTGAAGAGTGTGTCACTACTACTCTTAAGGCGGTGAACATGAAGGGATTTAAAGGCATGATGAATGAACTACATGTGCTGAAATACTTGCTCCGCTTCGGCCGTGCAATGGAGGAACTCAGTCTTTATGTCTCCAATGAAGCTGGCAGTAACGGCGAAACTAGGGAGTTCTATATGGAAAGAGCACAGCAAGTTTTGCAATTCAACAAGGCATCGAGGAATTTAAGTATAGCAGTCTTATAGACCAGTCTTTCCAACATTATTGCATTTTGGAAACTACATGGAAATAAATTTAGCAACTTTGTGATGATTCCCTGAACTTTGTTCTGAAGATGAAGGGACCTTGCATTTTCATCTGTACTTTCATGGAATATTCCTTTTTATTGAACAACTATGTGTTGATGGTTTGGTGAGTACTTTTTAGTGATGGTTTATTGCATTTGACAGATTCTTTAAATTATTGAGAGAAGGTTTTTGCACATGAATTATTTGTATGCATAGAAAATTTGTTCTGAAAACTTAGAATATATAGCCTCAAGAGTAAGTAGGACTTCAGACATTGCACTGTGGAAATATTATGACCTTGTTTCTGTTAACAAATGGAAGGCTTTGTTGACCTTGTTAGGGGGAGGCTAAGGCTTCATCCTAGTGATGGAGGTCTTATTTAATTGTCATGGTAAAATTTTTACTTGATGTGTAAGAATATGAATATGGGCTTCAAAATGCTCTTAATAAATTATGATTCACCCAAACTGGTCCTGAGGGGGAGAGAACATGTATAGTTATTTGGCAGAGAAATGCAAACATTAGTTTGAAATAGAGAAGAAAGAGAATATTATCCTTGTATTTCTAGTTTTTTCTTCTTTTGCTTGAAGAAACTCATTACTGCCATCCTTTAGGGCCATCAGTATTTGTTAGACAATGGGGTTCAATTACCTTTCAAGTCAGTTTATTGAAAGGAAAAGAGAAAGAAAGTTATGAAAACTGAGCTTGCTGATAGCTTGATAGACTCTAGATTGCAGAGAACTGTCCTCAGATGATGGTTGGTTCTGATCTTGGTATAATGTAATCATCGTGTGAGTTTGTGTCTTGAATTTGTGCATATTGTATGCAAGAACTGAGAAACCATTTTTCTGTGCGTCAATATGGTCCTTACCTCACTGCTTCAGCAAATGGCAGACAGAATATTGCAACGATTTGCTGGCAGAAAGGATGTTGCTATTGACAAATCAGTGAATAGTTCTTTAGTGATCCAGTGATGACTAAGGTTCGTTCACACTTCATCTCACCCTCATTACCATGAACAGAAATCTAGTAAGATAATAGTTGGTTCCAGAAAGCATGGATTTCTTGGAGGCCATAGGCTAGGTATGGGGGAGGGCTGACAATGAGTGGTGTTTTGAAGCACAATTGGAATAAATGTTCAAAAATTGTAAAATGACATGAAG